GAATAATCATTACTGTAACAGGCTATCAAGATGAAATTGGATAAAAATGAAAAATAAGGTAAGATACTGCAGAAAAAATTTAATTACAGGTAGAAGACAGTCATGACAGACTCGTGATCCGATGGGGTGCAAATTGATTCAAGAAAAATACACCATCATAATTTTGTAACTTAAAATCTCAATTAATGCTTGAGAAGCAAAATCATAATTATGAAATGCTAAGTTGTGTTAAAAAAATGTGAATTCATAATTATATTTTGTCAGAAATAACCTAACCCTGCTGAGACAGTTTTGAGAGAATATCTCATGAAGACTTGAAAATATTTGGTAAGGTGGCAGTAATGGGCTTCTACAGAAGGTGGTGAAGTTCTGATGACTTAATCAGCTTTACCTGCCTGTGGAGACAGCTCCAACCTGCTGCTTCATCATCATCATCACGCTGTCAAATGAGACACAGATGTGGAAACAAGACCTCCTCTTCCTCCTCCCTGTCCACCCACGCTGCAGCTCTGATGCGTTTAAACGTCTGTGCGCAAAAAGCGCACCGGAATAAACCCCTGAACTCAGGAGGATTCACGGTTCATGGAGTCCTCTCTGGAGTTCTCCAGCTCTCTGGGCAGCGTGTCCTCCCTGCTGACCCGCTGTAGGACCTTCAAGGTTCTGGTGATCGGGGACTCCGGCGTGGGGAAAACCTGCCTGACGCACCGGCTGTGCGCCGGAGAGTTCCCCCGCCGAGTGGAGGCCACCATCGGGGTGGACTTCCGAGACAGAGCGCTGGAGATCGATGGAGAAAAAATAAAGGTAAGAGGGGATATTTTTAAAATAAATACATTATATTATTTTTATACAAATGTTTACCTCAGCGCGGGAATTTGGGTTAGAAATGTATAAAACMGCTTTTTACGCACAGCTTTTCTTTAGTGCATTTAAACAAAACGAGCTGTTGGGTGAGTAAAACCGTTTGAACAAACATTTAACCCTTTCTGGTAAACAGTTGTAGAGTTTCTGGTATTTGTGGCTTTGCTGCTGATTTAACACAGACTTGTTTGTCCACCAGCTGAATTCTCTGAATGACAGAAAATCAGCAGTTAGATGCTCAATCTGTGCTTCTWACTCAAACTTTTCTCGATGCAGTTAGGGTGAATTTAAAGCTGGATTCAGTCACATCAAACCTTGTTTTTCTCTCAGCCCTGTCTATGTTGGGCTGATCAGTGCTTCCTCAATGTTTTGAAATCTGCACATGACAGAGGAAGTGTCTGCAGAGAGGACTGAGGGTTTGTCAGGGCAAAGGTTTGGGTCTAGTTTCTGATAAAATGAACAAATGTGAAATTCCTTCATATGATTCGATTTAATAACAAATCACCCTCATGTGCAGAATTTATTTTATTTTTAACATTCAAGACCACCACTCATCTGTACACAACTCTTATTTTATCATAAACAGATACTCTCTTGACTGTTCTCTGGTGATTTTTGTGTCTTTTCTCTGTAGTTGTAACTTGAGCATCAAATAAAGATTTTCTGATTGAAATTGTTGACTCGGAGGCATTCATAGTCGCGAGGTGTCGAGGTTTACATTTAAAACGTTCMCTCAGACTTATTCTTAAAATCTAAATGTGAAAAAGGAGCGAAACAGGTCCATGTTTCCAGCTGTGAAGCATCCTGTCTTCTTTTATCACCCAGGAGCTGAAGAGACCAGTTCTGGAGGTTTTAGAGGGACCGTTGTCTCGTTCTGGTTTGATGGAGGATTCTGTTTCACAGCTCTGGGTCGTCTTTGCTGAAAGGGAGCAGAAGTTGTAACGGAGGCACTAATGCACCCCTATACGATTAGAGAGGCAGGCTTTTGAACTGTGTGCTGATAAAAGACAAATGATTCTCGTGGCATCAAACGTCTACCTCAGATCTATGTTTTTATGAAACAACTGGTCCGAATTTGACTTCCCTTCTGTGTTTTGCTGTRATTTTGTTGTTTTGTGCACATCAGACTCATTTCACAGGTGAATCAAAAATTTTGTTAAAATAATTTTTTTACAGAAATCAGACTTTCTAACAAATAGTGTTATTTTTCTTTTTTCTGTTCCGTGTCAGAGATGACTCAATATTTGAGTATTTCAACACATGATTTTGTTTTCCGCCTCTTTGTGCTTTCTGTTTTTTTTTTTCCATTTCCTCTTTTAATGTTTGTGTCTCTGCCTCCAGCTGATAAAAGCCAGCATCTCAGATTCTTACTTGATTTTTCCATTTCCCCTCCTCACCATCAGCTCCAGCTGTGGGACACGGCGGGACAGGAGCGCTTCAGGAAGTCTATGGTGCAGCACTATTACCGTAACGTCCAYGCCGTGCTCTTCATTTATGACGTCACCTGTCCTGCCAGTTTTAGCGGGCTGACGGCCTGGATCGAGGAGTGCCGGCAAAATTCTCTTGGTCAGGAAATACCCAGGTAATTCCACCAGTTCAATTAAACAACTTTTTATCAAAATACTTCAATTAAAGAAGGAAAAATGCATCAGAAAGACAACATAAAACTGATTTAATTAAATTAAAAACAACCAAATAAAAGTTACAACCAAAGGAGCATTGGGAGAATAACAGTGGCCCGAGTATCCAACCCTGAGGAACTCCACATGCTTCTGCTTCCACGTCTATTTTCTGTTTCTCCCTCCAGGTTTCTTATTGGTAATAAAAGTGATCTTCGCGATCCCACCAGGACTGACCACCAGGTGGGCCAGGACCGGGCGATGAGCTTCGCCAAGGCCCACGGCATGATCTTCTTTGAGACATCKGCAAAGAACCCTCTGAAGAAACGGGGAAACGGACACCGAGGCGACGGGGCGCTCCGGTACCAGCAGGACGACGTGGAGGACATYGTCACCGCCGTCGGCGCCACGCTGAAGAAACGTAAAACCCCCTCAGCAGCAAACTCGCCAGTGTACAGCGGATCTTTTAAAGTTGGCAAGAAAAAAGCAGAGGAGCTGTGGACATGCTGCTGAGAGCCACACGAGGACTGAAGGCTTCTTTAAACAAAGAACATGAGTTTTTTTCTTCTTTTTGTTTTTTAACATGTAAAAATTGTGCCAAACTTCTTTTTATGAAGTCATTAATCCCCAAAGACCAGTTTAATATTTATACTCTGAGCCTTACTTAAAAATGTTGTCTTTTTGTGTCTTTTTACTTTTGTTGTAAAATAAAATCCTGTGAGTTTCAACAAAAACAGCCACATTTAATTCAGGGGGATCATTTAATTATTTAATTTGTGCCAAATGAAACAGGAACCATCACCTTGGTTTTAGAGCCATATCTGAAGATTATCCAGCCATTATGGTCCAGTTTTTACAGATTTAACCTTTTAAATAATCTTATCTGCATGACTAAATAAACCATCAACGTTTTAATATTCGTTCCAAATTTCAGTAAAGCGGTTATTATAAGTCAYATTTAATGAGGATAATTATAATCATAATTACATTCAAACAATTACAAAATTTAATTCATTTTGATTAAATTTCTTTAAAAATGGTTTCGAAAGACAAAAAATAATTTAATTTTTGATCATTTAAGTTTTTGAAACAAGGGTTAATGTTATTTACCTAAAAATGGAAAAGAAGACTGAACACTTTGCAGGATTATAAAATRTTAAGAGAATAAATGACAGATTTGACTAAAAGAAGGAAACTCAGAACATCTTGAAGTTTGAAAACTTGCTGTTTTCTAAATGAGATGTTTTTTTTTCTGGTGCACCTATTTTAAAAAAGCAAATCACTGTGATGATGGTTTAGTCTTGTGCATGAGCACGATGGTGACTGGAGGCGTTGGAAACATTCATCATGTGTGTTTCTGTGATTTCATGTGCWGTTCGATGATTCAGAGGTCACATGACGCTCTTCAGCCGAACCTGCAGAACTTCAGACACGCACAGCTGAGTGTGTCGCTTTGGTGCAACATTCACCAGTTACATGTGACATTTCTCTGTGATTTCAGAGGAAATGGCTTCTGTTTCATATATAATTTAAATACATTTGAGCCAACTCAGTGTGTTAAATAAAGCTGAGGTTAAATTTATGGCTGCTTTCCTGCAGTAAAAAGTAATGAATTAATTAGAACTTTGCTTTTTGTCTTTGCTTCAGGGGGAGATGGATCAGGACCTGGTCTTCAGTAATGAGGTCRTTGCKTCGGTCAGCTGGTGAAGAAAGAGTTGAGTCAAAAGGTAAAAGAAGAGGAACGGCTGTATTTGCTCCTTCTGGTCAAGTTGGGCCAAAAAAACAACAAACAGGTCAACAACTTCTTTCCTGTGGGAGGGAGAACCTTATCATCCGTTATCACTTGTTTGCAAACACAGACGTGCAACAGCAACTTCTCAGAAARTGTTAGAAAGTCGATGCCGGTTTTATTTATGTGGCTTGTTTGAAAAACAACATCGAGGACTGAAGCTGGTTAAAAACGAGAAAATCCTCAACAAAATAAATTTAGTTAAAAATCAACAGGTCAAAATTTAATGGACTAAAATCACGACAACGCCACACAAAAAAAATCTGATGGAACTTTAATAGTTAAACAAAAATAATAGTTTGAGGCCCTGATGGCACCTCAWATTTTAAATATTGAACTTTTAATTGCTTTAAATAAGGATTAACTTTAAAAAAATGAGTAAAAACAGGAAGTGTCCCCTTCTCTGCTTTAGGATTTTTCTTTTCTAGCAAAAGGGACACACACACGCACACACACTCAGATGTACTGCATGTTCCTGGTTTTTGTCAATCACTGATTCGTGACGTRTAACTGACCTCAGCTTTGAGAATCCAGTAAACAAACATGGATCTAAATTTACTTCCATTGACGTTTGAAACCTTTTTTTTTAACGTTGTGTCGTCTGATTTGTCCTGTTGGATCCAGATGTGTTCCGGATGAGTTGGGGTCACGTTAATTGTTAAGATGAGCAACTTCGTTGTTCTCTGGCACACCYTCCTGTCCGTTCAGCTCACAGAGATGTTCTGCGACCTCTCGTCTCCACTGACAGCTTTGGGCCTCCTGCCTGTTAAAGCGTCCTGACTGAATTATGCAACCACAGCTGACTGTTTGCGTGCAGACGACATCCAGCCTGAGGCTGTTCATTCTCACACATTAAACACACATCAGATGGGTGATTTCCAGGACTGGGTGGGGTGGGGGATTATAGGACACACGCAGAACACAGCTCAGCATCTGCAGAGCCCACCAACGCCCCCTTAATGTGTAATAAAGTAAAAACTTCTAAAATGAACAGAGATTATATGGGATGCAGTGTGTGTGTGTGTGTGTGTGTGTGTGTGTGTGTGTGTGTGTGTGTTCTGCAGGGGGCGTGCTCGTCAGGTGGGTGTGTATCTTCCACTCAGAGTGTCACAGCAGCAGAGGAATCATTCATCTCTGACGGACCGCAGACACACACCTCTTCACCRGATCAGAGATGTTCTGCAGACGGGTTTGGAAGAGGGTCGGGCCGCTGGCATGGAGGGTCCTCAGTCCCACCTCCAGGACCGGTAAGTCCACTTTTTAACCAGTTGGACCTCAAATTAACTCATTAAARCTCTTATAGTCAGACTTATAGTGGAGTTAGTGAGATGTTTTAATAAATAAACTGAGTTGAAGCTGAATCTGGATGATTTTTAAAAGTTTTCTTGTTTGAAGATACATTTAAATGATCGTTAGAGCTGTGAGAGGAGGAGGAGGCGTTTCACTTTGGGAACACACCGTCCTCAGATTAATTATTGAATATTAGGCCATTGTTTAGAATCAGATTTTCTAACCATCCTTTAGAAATGCAAACATTTCTCATCTCTGCAGAGGAATATTTCTTGGTCTAAAGCTTGTCCGATTCAGAAGCGTTTTTGCTGTTGTGTCCTTTCAGAAAGTTTTGTCTCTGATTCTGCATGCATGCATGATTCTGTGGCTCATCCTTTCATTCAGGACACGAGCACGTGGAATTCAGCCCGAGGCGAAGCCGCTGCTTTAATTTCCTGTTCAGAACAAAGTTCTCACAAAAGGCCTGGCTGCAGTTCACCTCCCTCCCTCCAAAACAACCTGTTTTTTTTTCTTCTAATTTTGCAGAAACACAGATGTCTGCAGGCTGCATGTTGTTGCTGACACGTGTGTTTTCACAGCCTGAACCTGGCCGCAGGGATTAACTGATTACCTGTAAAAATAACGTGAACACGTGGCGGCCGGGAGGACGAGCAGCGTCCTCAGCWCTGCTTTTTGGCTCCTCACAGATTTGCCAGGAGAAACTATTATATTGTTACTTATAATTCAATGAACACTTCCTTTTAAAAATAAAACAAGCTGCTCATGTGGTTTGTATTGGAGGTAATTTAGCTTCAAAAACACTGTGATTTTCTATTGTGATAGGAATGTAAACTACAAGATAAATAAAGCTGATAAATTGACATTTTCAGGCTTTATTAAATCATTTTTGTTTTGAAAATCATTGCTCTGACTGAGTGGATCATGTCTTTGTTCTCTTTTTTTTTTTTTTTGGTCAGAAAGACTTCAGATCCACTGAGAAGCCTGTTTATCTCAGTTTGAAGATGTTTGTTTTGATGCAGATTTAGACTCTGCATGCATCGGGGTGAATTTAATTGGGACTCTTCTAYGTTTAGCTCGTCTGCTGCTAAAACTTTCCATCTCCTTCCCCTCGCTAAGAGCTGTGTTGTGTAACGGGATTAAAGAGTGCAGAGGAGGGGGACGGGTYGCCGCTGTTCTCTGTGACGAGCTAAACTTCTGAGGGACTGAAAATTCYCAAACCTTTAAAGACAGTTTGGGGTTTTCATTTTACTGCTCGTAAATCTTCCTTGGAACAGTTTCCGTGCTGAAATAAAGCTGYAACTTCTGTGTTTTTCAGTTTCTCCGGTGCGACACATGGCCTTCGGGATTCCCGGAGGGTCCACCAACTTGACGTATTTTGTTTTGTGTGGAGGAGGCCTGACCGCTGCAGTCGTCTACGTGAGCATCACAGATCTGACCTTCTGCTCACACAGGGGTTCAGGGATGAACTGTTGGCCGTTTGGGGGTCGGGGGGGGAGGTTCTAATATAAACTAACTTCTCCAGAACCTTTAAAGTGCCTGTGACATTAATTTTTTGTAATAAATATGAATGCATTTTTAGAAAGAGGACATTAATAAAATATTGCAAAAAAAAATTCATGTCTCTGAGATGAACAGTTGTTGAGATATTTTGCATGTGAAGAAACAGGAAGTGATGTCAAAGGGGAATGTCAGCATGTGAACACAGGGTTGTTACAAAAGCTAACAAACTGTAGAGAAGAATCTGATGTTTTGTTAGATAATTTTTAGTCACTATCAAAGARAGATGGAGTTAAAATTTAAATATTTTTGTTTTAATAAACACAGACCAGCAGGGTTTTTTTTAATGAGTTTCCCTTTGATGTCACTTCCTGTTTCACTTTGGCTGAGCCAAATTCAAAAGAAAATAGGCCAGTTATATAACAAATCATGTGTACTATGCCAATTTTCTTAAGTATAAAGATGTCTTCTTTGACTTTTTCTATTTGAAGGATAGTCACAGACACTTTAAAAGGCAGAATTAAGTCAATATATGAGGTTTAAGAACCAAAAGCTGAAGGCTAGAAAACACAGGAAGACTGTGATTGTTTTAATTGATGCTTTTTTTATAAGACCACAAACAGAAATATAAACACAGTTTTGTAAATAAAAACCACAGTAGTTGCAGTCAACAAATGCGGTTTTTATTCACATTTTACACCACTTCTTAACTTTTTCAGAACTGTTGTAGTTTTAATAAACCTTGCACTTATTCTGTTTTAACACTGATGTGTTTTTAATACTCTCAGCTAAACCGTTTTCCCCTTYGCGTGAACTCGCATATGTGTGTTTAAATATGACTGACAGCTAAACCTTTTCTCGCACAGATCACAACCAAACGGTTTGTCCCCCGTGTGAACTCTTAAGTGTGTGATTAAAGCCGTCTTATGGCTACATCCCAGTCCACAAAAATCACAAGTGAGCGGTTTCTGTCCCGTGTGGACGCTGATGTGTCGGTTCAAGTTACTCTTCGAGCTAAACCTTCGCCCGCATTTGTCACAACTGAACGGTTGTTGACCCGTGTGGATTCTTTTATGAGAGTTTAAATGAATCTTTTGGCTGAAGCTTTGTCCGCACACGTCACAATGAAATGGTTTTTCTCCCGTRTGGACCCTCATGTGGATGTTTACGTTTGCTTTTCTGGCAAATCTTTTCCCACAGTCATCACAACTGAATGACTTCAGTCTCTTCTGGGCTTTCTTGTGTGGCTCTACACTTWTCTTAACTCTAACACGTTTCTTTTTGATCAAAGGGGTGATTTTTGAATGGCTTGTCAGGTGCGTCTGAAGAGACCAGATGTTCACAAACTGTTCACCACACTCTGAGCAGCTGAAACATTTGTTCACGTTGTTCACATCAAACTCAAAAGTGCTGCTCTCCCTCCAGTCGTTGTCCTCAGCTGTTAATCCAGAGTCTGATAAGGGTCTGAGCTGGGAGTCAGGACCGCTTACATCCTTGTCCTCCTCATCCTCACTGACTTCAGTGTCTGAAGAGCTGGACTCGTCTTCACCAGTCTGTAGATCCTCTCCATCAGGTCTTTCTTTCATCAGGTCGACTGAGCTGCTGGTTGGAAGAACTCCATCTTCGGTGTGATGAAGCTTTGAGAGCAGAGGTTTCTCATCATCGTCTTCATCCTCACTCTTTAAATGAACTGTAGTTAATGAGAACATGGTGGCGTCAGTCTCCTCCTCCTTTATGTGGGACTCAGGGTCCTGCTGGTCCACATCGTCAGGTCTCCACTCTTCATTAGCTTCTTCTTTCACCACCACTACCTGCTGAACACCTGCAGGGGAAACTGAACCACATGTACGTTATGAACAACGGGGACTTTAAATTTTCATCACTTCTATTATATCTTAGTTCACTCATACTCACTCAAATCATAATTATTAGACGCTACCTCGTAATAGGCATGCTAAGTCAACATTATTAGATGATATGAGACAATTACATGCTTAGTTCCAATTATTAGAGGCTAAGTTACAATTATTAGATGCTACCTCATAATTATTAGATGCTAACTCATAATTATTACACGCTTACTCATTATTGACATGCTATGTCAACGTCATTAGATGATAATATGTAATAATTATTACATGCTTTGTTACAATTATTAGATGCTAACTCAATTATTAGATGCTAACTCAATTATTAGATGCTAACTCATAATTATTAGATGCTAACTCAATTATTAGATGCTAACTCAATTATTAGATGCTTACTCATAATTATTAGATGCTTACTCGTAATTGACATGCTAAGTCATGATAGGTGACAATTATTAGATGCTAGTAAGTTACAATTAGTATATGCTAACTCTTAACTGAGATACTAAGTCAACATTATTAGATGCTAAGTCATGATTTTGAAATATTATCTCGTAACTTCAAATTATTACTTAACAAGATGATCAGATTAGCTGGTAAAACTAAATACAACTAGCAGTGGCTAAGAAAACCCAGTTTAAAAATAGAAACAAACCTGATCTGTGGTTGAAAACACAAACAGGATCCAGTATTTTGTTGTTCTGTCGCAGGTTTTCTTTATCCTCCGCGGCTGAATTTTCTAACAGCGACGTTTCATCGAGTCGCTGTTCGACCTGCAGCTGTCCCCACATCTTTCTCAGCTTTCCTCAACAAACGTCAGGCTACGAAACCAACAAAACTCACAGGAAAGTAAACGGGACGAAGCTGTTATGAAGGTCCCTGTTGGACTCTTCTTCTACGGTCACTTCCGGCGGGTCGCCGTGTCGGTTCATTTTAGTAGCGACACCTGGTGTTCAAGAGGAGAACTGCCCTCAGAATTCTGACAGAGTTTGTGTTTCTTTTAGCAAAATGTCTCACGAACCAATTATTGGATTTTAATAAAATTCTCAGGAAATATTTAGTAGATGTACATCTACAAGTAAATTACTTTGGGAGCCAATACCATTTAAGATGACTGCCACTAACACAAAAGTTAACAGATATGCCGTTTTTTTTATTTTCAGGCCTACAAATCAGTCAATGGTGACGCTGAGCGACAAGAAGACAAATTTTCCAACACGAACTCTGCAGCAAAAGGTAAATGCTCACAAAACCACACYCAGCTCATTTAGCATAAAAGACTAAGTTTAGTTCTACTAAACATTTAAAGACAACTTCAGTTGACAGCAGCCTTTGTATTTTTTATTTACCYTTTCAGCTTTTGACTCACAAAATAAATGTTACATAGATTCATGAACTCAACTCATCTTGGTGTTTAGCTTGACAAACAGGAACTGCAACTGCATTCTTGCACACAATGTTTTTCTTGCAAGAACAGATGCAAATTAGCAGCTCACAAATGCGAAAGATTTAATTACTAATGTAACTGAAGAGGGCAAACTAATAAAAGTAAGAAAATAGGAGCAGTTGGACAAAGTTTTCTTTAAATGATTGTAGCTAAATTAGACCTGTATGCTTCGGCTGATGCTGTTCAGACTTGCACTGAAAATAATCTGTTCAGTTGCTCATTTGAAAAGCGTTCAGCGCAGAAACTGAACACGGTGAGCTTGAAAACAGAATGTTTGGACGTGTTTCTGGGCAGATTCTGGCTGCTCCACCCAAACTTCTCACACGGTGGAATGAGTTCTCTCAATAGGTTTATCAYGCCTGTCTGCTTGGATCAGAGTCTGTGCTTTGTCTGCTCAGCCTGCAGGGAGGGCGGCTCCGTGCCAAGAGATGCTCACTGACGAGTGGCGTTGTCTCAGTTCTGCACCTGTAGACTGAAAGGGCAGTGCTGTTAATATGTATTGGCGGGGGGGTAGACCTTTTGTTGCAGGGGATGGCACGGGTTGGCCAAGGTGTTATCTAGGGGGGCATATGTAATTAAGGAAAACTACCTTGGATTAAAACAATTAAGATGGCCACCACAGCTAAATTTAAGTGGAATTTTAAGACTAATTGAGCTGAAATTTGTTGTGGCGTAGCCAAGAATTATCTCTAGTCCCAATTTAAGGTAACCGCTAATGCTAATTTTACAAAGAGATATGATTYAGCCATTRAATACACAGCTGAAAATTGATATGGTAGTAGTAGTCAAGAATCTTTWAAAAATATGAAAGTAAATTCAAAATCAAAGATGACCACCAATGCTAATTTTCAAAAGTTGGACCTCAGCCATTTTTTCAGAAATACTGAGCTGAAATTTAGTGTGGTGGTAGCTGAGAGTGATGCCTAATGGATTATATGTATAAAAAAATTCAAGATGTCCAGCAAAACTGTATTCAAATGACTACAGTTCGGCTATGTTTTGATAAACTTTGAGCTGAAATTTTGTGGTATTGTTGCAGGTTTCCTCTTCACTAGAAAAAATAGCTGCATAATTTACCTTGATTTAGCTCTAACTTACCATCTTTTATTGCCAAATGTGACCCCCACYCATCAAACATTTGGGGGTGGCACCYGGGGTGGCCAATCAGGTGCCAGCAGTGGTGCTTGCCACCCTGGCCACCCCTCTTTCTCCGCTCCTGTTGCACCAAATGCAACAAAGAATGTTGGTGCAACACTTCTGTTACTTTATCTTTGACTTCAGCCCCTCTTGTTTTCCCTCAGTGGATGAGGCACCAGCAGCTGAACCTACAGCAGCAGAGGAAGAACCAGCTCCTGGAGCTGAGGTCATTGTAGGGTCACTTCCTGCAGAACCGGCAGCAGAGACCTCAGCAGAACCAGTGGAGACCTCAGCAGAACCAGTGGAGGAGACCTCAGCAGAACCAATGGAGACCTCAGCAGAACCAGTGGAGACCTCNGAGACCTCAGCAGAACCAGTGGAGGAGACCTCAGCAGAACCAGTGGAGACCTCAGCAGAACTAGTGGAGGAGACTTCAGCAGAACCAGAGACCTCAGCAGAACCAGTGGAGGAGACCTCTGCAGAACCAGTGGAGGAGACCTCTGCAGGACCAGTGGAGACCTCAGCAGAACCAGTGGAGGAGACCTCAGCAGAACCAGCAGCAGAGATTTTAGAAGAACCGGCAGCAGAGACCCCAGCAGAACCAGTGGAGACCTCAGCCGAACCAGTGGAGGACTCTGCGTCTGAGKTGGTCAATACGGAGGCCTCGGCTGAGCCGGCGGTCTCAGAGGAAGATGCTCCAGAACCGGCTGCAGAGTCCACAGCAGCAGCAGGAAGTCCCGGTACGGCCGCAGTAGATGAAGTCCCTTCTTCTCCCCCCGCTGATCCAGAGACTCCCTCTGAAGCCCCCGAGGCTGAGGCCACCCCTGCTGCAGAGGTGGCTGCATGAAGCTGAGCGGGCTGCAAAATCTGTTGTTTCCTCAGTAAAAGACTCRTAGTTTCCCTCGCTTTTTAATTTGTGTTTTAGATACCAGATGGTCCAGTTCTTCCTTTCATTCTCTTCCCCAACATTCCTGCGCAAATCAAATCATCTGGCATCAGTTTGGCCATTTTTTTGTGTGTGTGTGTGTAAAAACATCTTTAATAAAAAAAACATGTTTGATATTAAAAAGGTGTAAAAGTTCTGGTGTAGGTAATTTTAAAAACATTTTTTAAAAAGATTTGAAGTGACCTTAAACTGTGACAATTCCTTTTATTTATCCAAAATCTCTTTTAAATCATTGAAGTGGGACCAAAATTCAGCTGACGTTGTTATTATTATTATTTTTGCCAAATTGCATTGTATGAGCAAGAAACACAGAAATATTCTGAAATAATCAATGTTTCAACTTTTCTTTCTGAATAATTTGTTTTTAATTAAACTCTTCTGTATTTTTGCTCCTGCTAACCTGCATCTGTTCATGTCTGTAATTCCAGTTTAGTTTTTATATTTCTAATCACTGGAAGCCTTTATCTGTGTGTTTTAGACACTTCTGCTGCTCTTTTCTCATTGATCTTAAATCATCATAAACTCATCTGATGGGCTGAAGCATTAAAGGTTGTTGTTTTAAAGTGGTGAAAGAAATAAAACCTCTCTGGAAAATGAAGGGTTTTAAATAAAGTTTGGATCCTTTTCCACCCTGTTTTTATTGTTTGTTCTGTTTGTTTGTTTGTTTGTTTTTTGTTGTTTGTTTTTTTGAGACTCAGAAGATCTGGACGCAGATAAGGAGGCAGCTGTTGAAAAGTCTGCAGAGGGTGAAGATGACGAAGCTGTCTCCTCCTCCTCCTCAGAAGAGGAGACAGCACCTCAAGAAACTGAAACACAGTTAGCTGCGGCCTCYGCGGGACCAGACCTGGATCCTGTTTCAGAAGCAGAACCAGGAGCTTCATGCTGCCCCTCCTGCCATGCTGCTCCATCAGCAGGAGAGGAGGTGGTGCCATCAGCTGCTCTGTGACCAAGATCCTAAACATCTGAACGAAGCCAAGAATGAATCTGCATCATGAGAACAACCAGCAGCCGACTGAGGAGATTCAGAACAGTTCTGGGAAATCTGAAGGGGTCAAAATGACACAAACTGTGTTTTTTGGGGGAAGAATGAATTCTATTTGATTTAACGAGCCTGAAAAAAAAAAGCTTTTTGTTTTAGGTCATCCTCCGAAGAAGGCAACCAAAGGTCAAAGGTTTTCCATTACTAGAGTTCCAATGTGGGCACCTGGTTTTCCCAGGTGGTCTCTCATCCAAGTACTAACCAGGTCTGGCCCTGCTTAGCTTCTAAGCTCGGACGAGCTCTGGATCAACCATAGTATTATTACTATCCTTTGTCTGTAGATACTCAAATTTTATTTGTCCTTTTGTCTAAAATGAAGGTTAAAACAAAAATACTCATTTCTGTACAACTTAGGTTTCATGTGTTGGTTATTATTTTAAAAGAAAAACCTTCTACAAAAGGTTTTAAACAAAAATAACTAAACTGTGCATCTTAGCTGATTAACAATTTGAGGTGATGAACAGATAAATCATCTCCTGCAGCTGATTTATTAATCCTGACACATGGCCTGCAAACAGTAATACATGGATTCATTTTCAACATGATAAACATCATAACTACAGCTGATATTCTGGTTTTAATGTTGAAATCTACATATTTTAAAAGTTCATCCAGGTTTTGTGTATATTTTTTTTTCTAAATTTTGTTTTGTCCGTATTTTACGGTCTGTAAACAATTTTCAGTTGGACCATCTTAACCTGACAGAATGTCATTTTTTTATTGAAATATGTATAGAACTTCACAATTCAGCTTCATGGAATAAAAATTCATTTTTAAGTAAATCCAATAGCATGTAAAACTCTAAAYACAATTTCTTGAAATTCAATTTGTTTTCTTGAAGATAAAAAGGCCAAAATAATAATCAAATACCATGCAGCTTTGCAGGTGCAGTGACTTAATTTGACATTTTCTGTACATAAATGTAAACATTTAAATTACTGATTTGTGGTATACAATTTACARGTTTTCTTTTATTTACGAGTGACAAAAACATGAAAGAGCATAAATCAAAACAGTTTTTATTCAGAGGTGTATATAAACATTTGAAAAGAACTGTAAAACTGTATGAAGTGAAATATTATAAAATTCAACTAGTTTGATTCATCAGCAGATACTCTTTTTTAAATAAAGTGTGGCATAAAGTGGTCTTGACTATACAATTAAATTTAGTTAGTTATCAACAACGCCACCTGGGACTATCACCCAGGAATTAATAAAAGGACACAGGTCCGGTTTTGCAATCAGCAGGAGACAGGTTTCGAGTCAATAATAATTTATTATACAAAATAAGAAATGCCTGTACATAAGCAAATACACAAAGTAAAACTAACTAGGCTTACCAGTGGGTACGACCAGGTCCTGGATGTAGGCCCCAAAACAAACAAAACAAAAAAACACCCGTGACGTCACTCACTCTAAGATGCTCACCACCTGTCTGGGTTAATCACTGCACAGTCACACCAAAACAAAAA